CAGTACTGTGCTACTGAGCTATATATACCCTCAGCCCCATTCATCATGGTGCGGGCTCCCACCCCCCCACCCCCCCACCCCCGCTCTTTCTTTCTGGTTGTCGTCTTCCCCCCCCCCCCCCAGACAGGGTTTCTCTGTGTAGCTCTGCATGTCCTGAAAATTACTCTGTAGACCAGGCTGGCCTTGAACTCCCAAGTTCTGCCAGCCTTTGCTGGGATTAAAGGCATGTGCCACCACCACTGGATTCTTACTGTTTTTAAACTTTTTAATAATGTGTCTATGTGTGTGTGACAGTGAGTTTGTGAGTACTCTGTTCCAGGGGGCCAGAAGATGATGTTGAATCTCCTGGAGTTGAAGTAAAGGATGTTGTAAGCTACCTGATATGGGTGCTCAGAACTGAACTCAGGATGTTTGTTTGAGCAGTACATGCTCTTCACTGCTAAACCATCTGCTGGAGAGATGGCTCAGCGGTTAAGAGCACTGGCTGCTCTTCCAAAGGTCCTGAGTTCAATTCCCAGCAACCACATGGTGGCTCACTGCTAAACCATCTGTCCAGCTCCCTTTCTAAAAATGTATATATTTATTTTTGACAGGATTTTATTATGCATACAGGCTAGCTTTGAACATGGGATCCTCCTGCCCCAGCTTCCCAAATGCTGGGATTACAGTTACACATCACTAAAGTTGGCTGCTTCAAAATAATATTTCTTCAGCTTTCATTAGATAACTTTTATGAAAAACCATGGTGTAATACGGGTTTTTAAAACTTTTGGAGGTCGTGTTGAAAACACAGACTTTACAGCACAAATATTCTTTGAAAGTCATCTGGCTGTAGCTTCAGAGACTCCCAGAAACGGCTTTGTCGTTCCAGATTAAAATTCCCTCCATTTATAGTCAGGTGTGATAGCTTTTGCCTTTAATCCCAGCACTCAGGAGGCATAGGCAGGTGGATCTCTGTGAGTTCAAGACCAGCATGATCTACAGAATGAGTTCTAGGACAACCAGGACCATTTTCATGAATTGTCTGTCGCACCTTCTTGAGTTTCCAAAATTTGACACATCTATACAAATAGTTATTTCATTGACTAAATTCACATAGACATTCTCTAGTTTATTAAAAGTTCTTAGCAGAAGATTATTATTTACCTTCTGTGAGTTATAGATAGTCAGCACTGCCTGAGGGATAAAAAGCAGTGCAGCTCTAGGTAAAAGTAAGATCCTGGGTTTGTGCTGTCATGATGGCTCTGAGAGTAAAGGCACTTACTATCAAACTTGATGACCTTGAATTCAATCTTCACGACCTTCATGGTGGAAAGAAAACCAAATCCCACGAGTTGTGCTCAGACCTCCTCCATGCACACATGAGAGAGGGCACACACACACATCCACACAAAGAAATTAATTAAATGCAGTAAAAGAAAAACAGCTTGGTTTATTAGGGGGACTAAAACTTGGGCTTTTGAGAATATAAGCAAGCAAAGTTAGTGCTGAAAACATTTATACAATATCCTAGTGCTAAAGACAGACTAATAAATACTGGGTTAACCAGGTCTCATCAGCAGACATTAGGTATCGGTACATAGTTGATTGTTGTGTGTGGTGTATATGTGTATGAAGGCCAGAGGTTGATTTGGGGTGTCTCTGGCACCTGTCTTCCACCTTGTTTTTTGAGACAGACAGTTTTGACTGAATTAATTCACCTTTACTAGCTGGCTAGTGGGCTCCAGGAATCTACCTGCACCCCAGATTACCCAAGTATTTGAGTTGCAGGCACATGCTGCTGTGCCTGGCTTTTGACATAGGTGCGGGTGATTCAAAATCAGGTCTTCATGTTGCACATTAAGCACTTTACCCACCAAGCCATATTCCCAGCCCCTCTACTTTTGACTATTTTAATTCCAGTCACTATGCCACAAAATTCTAGTATTTCATTGTCTTATTTCATATCAAATTCTTATAAACTATAAGTATCCTTAGCCTAAGCCCAATGTAGTGGCTCACACTTTTAGTCCCAGCACTTGGGAGGCAGAGGGAGGTGAGTCTCTTGAGTTTGAGGACAGTCCGGTCTACAGAGTAAGTTCTAGGACAGCCAGAACTACATAGTGAGACCCTATCTCTTAAAAAAAAAAAAAAAAAGTACTCATGGCCTAATAGTTTACACAGATTAGAAAGTTTTAGTGATGATTGTAAGATTGTAAGACTGAAAAGTTCCATCATTAATGATACTGTTATTAATAAGCACCGTGTTAATCTTATTTAATCTTTATATTCTTAACATTTTCCATCATTTCCTTGGTCTTTTAAATGGTGTAAAGAGTTCCTTTCTAAAAGTAAGTTTGCCAAACTCCCTTGAGTTTCTTCAGTATCCCTCACACGAGCGTCCTCAGAGCACGGAGAACATTCTCACTTGGCATTCTTGGCAGTTTGCTTAATAAGGTTGACCTGTTGAGAATCAGCCTGGTGGCAAGCCAGTCCTCGGGAGCTCTACAGTCTGTGACATAATTTAGGGCTTCATTTGAAACTTTGCCTTGCCTGTCATTATGTCTTACTGTATAAAATAACAGAAGTTACATATAATTTAGAGTTGTGGGAAATGATGACTTTCTTTGAGATTTGTTCCCAGTATCTTTATGTTTTCCAGGTAACCAGGTTTAGTGGTCAGTCTTCTCTTGTTTTGTCCTGCCTAGAAAGTATTCCTCTGTTGGTTACAGCATACCAGTTTCCCCAGTGGCTTGTAAGTTTGCCCTGCCTTTGACTGGTTAAGGATTTTGCATGTGATTGAATTAGGTTTACTGGATATGTTGCAAAATAAGATAATGGGAATAAAATAATAATATAATGCTTTTACTAATGGATCAAATAAGGGTAGCATGAACATGGCAGACTTAATGGTGTTGACAATGTTTTCCCTCATTAATAGTGTAAGTAAGAAAATATATTGGGGATTCCCAGCACCATTCTCCAGTTTGGTAATTTGCTAAGAGAACACACAGGCCTGACTCGGTGTAATAGTTGTTTTTACAGCCCTCCATGTCTTATTACAACAGAAGGATAGAAAGCAGAATCGGCAGAAGACAAGGTGCATGGGGTAAAGTTTGGGGGGAACCGGGTCCACGTTTCTCCCAGTAGAGTCACACAAGCCATATCTAATTCTCCAAGACATTGTGACAATGCAAGGGAAATGTTCCTAACTAGGGAAGCTTGTTAGTAGCTGCTGCAGGGCTTGGTGACCATCAAACAAATAACTCATACCTGGCATATATACAAGTAGTTCTAGACCCTGAGACTGAAAGCAGGTGCTGAGCATAACCATTTTGTTTGCACATGCAGTTCAGGCACAGTGAGCCTTTCTTATCAGTTGATGGTGGGAGCTCTTCAGAAATCTAGCTTTCTGTAAATTATTTCCAACTGCCGGCTAAGGCCAGTCCTGTAAACAGGCCTTTAGAGCAGTCTCATAACTCATAAAAGAGGGATTAGCTCTCCTTGCCTGTGATGATAATTTTGTTTGTTAATATTTTGTTTTTAATCTTCTAGAAGCACCTTCTTTAAAAAAACTTTTCTATAATATACTTTAATGAGCTTTCTCTTTTGTTGTTGTTTTGGTTTTTTGAGATAGGGTCTCGCTATGTAACCTTAGTTGGTCTGGAGCTGATTCTGTAGACAAGGCTGCCCTGGCTCTCTTAGAGATCAACCTGCTTGCCTTCAGAGTGCTAGGATTAAAAAGGTATGCACCACCATACCTGGCTTGTGAGTTTTCTTTTATTGCCTTGTTGTATGTTATATGAATGTAACAATTTAGAAAAAAATTTTTAGAGTTATTATTATTTTGTATGAGTATACATGTGTATGCATAAGTGGGTGCCTGGTGCCCATGGGGGTCAGAAGAGTGTTGATTCTTCTGTAACTGGAGTTGTAGATGGCTGTGAGCTGCCCTGTTGGTCCTGAGAACTGAATGAACACAGGTCCTCTGTAAGAGCAACAAGTGCTTTTCACTACTGAGTCATCTCTCCATCCCAACTGCCACACTTTTCATTATCAACATGCTGACATCTTTTAAGTGTTGTAATTTCTGTGATTTACCAAACCGCTTGCACTTGTCTGTTCCACTCATTTCATGCTCTACGGAATACTAAATGGCTCAAGAAACCAAATGCTGAGAACCACCTTAAGACCTTGAGATAACCTCGGGAACCAGTGTTCCATGGTGAGTGAGGTGTGTTAGAGTTCTCTGGAGAGCTTGTTAAAGCAGTAGTTGGTAGTTCTTTCCCTCAATTTCTAAACCAGGGTATGGAGTAGAGCTGAAAATTTACGCTTTTAAAGATTTACTGATTTATGTATGAATGCTGTCTGCATGTTCCTCTGCTCATCAGAGCAGGGAGTTGGATTCCTAGATGGTTGTGAGCTACCATGTGGTTGCTGGGAATTGATCTCAGGACCTCTGGATGAGCAGGCAGAGCTCTTAACCACTGAGCCATCTCTCCTGCCCCTGAAACACTTTGGACAAATTTCTAGGTAATGCTGATGCTGTTGGTGTGATGATGTTGTGTTTACTCTGGGAACCACTTTGTGATCTATAATCACAAACTCACATCAATAAGTTACACATCCTGTGATAGCCCAGAACACAGGAATACCTAATTCAGCATTTTGAAAGTGAACAAGCAGTTATACCACTGTTAATTCCTGTGTAATATTTTTCTTCAAGATGGATGTGGTTATAGGATGCTTATATATTAGACTACTCCAAAAAATACTAGGAAATGAATTAATTCATATTTTAAAGGCTAAAAGCAGCTTTACTGGGAAAATGAAAGTGACTGTAATGTGGATTTAGCAACTAGGTTGGAGAAGAAAGCATCTGAATTCCTGTGTGATGTCTGCCAGCTCTTGGCCTCTATTTACAAGCTTCTTGTCTTTTCTCTGGACCTGGGAGAAATCAACAGCCACCTATGTTTCTTAGTGATCGGTCTTCCCCTTCCTGTGATTAGAAACCATGGTGGGTCTCTAAGACAGTCTCCTGGAACAAGTTTTCATCTTTTGTTTCAGTCAGCCTCAGTGAGTTCATCTCTAGTACTTGAAAAGGAAGCAAGACACATGAATGATTCTTTACTGGGAAAGGAGTATATTAGTGAAGCTTATTTCTGAATTTTAAAAGTTATGTCTTGTTGTGTGTACTTGGTGAGTCCTCAGATCTCCTGGAACTTGTCATTAGAGTCCAGAAAATTTTCTCTGTCAAGCACTTTTTTTTAAGTGGGTTGCCAAGGCACATCTTAGAATTTTTCAGGGCTTCCTTGGCTTTCTCTTTAGCCAGGCATGCCAATGGAAGTGACACCACAGGAATGCTTTCCTTCCTCAGGGGGATGAGGTCTTAGGGAGGCAGAACTTAACTGGTGACTAGACCATGAGGAGGCAGGTTTAGTAATGAAATTCTGAAACTGTTCTTTTTTTTTTTTTTTTTTTTTTTCAAGACAGGGTTTCTCTGTGTAGCTTTGCACCTTTCCTGGAACTCACACTGTAGCCCAGGCTGCCCTCGAACTCACAGAGATCCTCCTGCTTTTGCCTCCTGAGTGCTGGGATTAAAGGCATGCGCCACCACTGCCTGGCCTAAAAATATTCTTTATATTTATTTGGTTTTGGTTTTTCAAGACAGGATTTCTCTGTCTGGCCCTGGCTGTCCTGGAACTCACTCTGTAGACCAGGCTGGCCTTTAACTCAGAATTCAGAGATCCTCCTGCCTCTGCCTCCTAAGTGCTGGAATTGAAGTGTGTACTATCACTGCCCAGCTTGTATATATTTGTTGTTGTTGTTTTGTTTTTTTTGTTTTGTTTTTCGAGACAGGGTTTCTTTGTGTAACAACCCTGGCTATCCTGGAAATCGATTCGTAGGCCAGGATGGATCTCACCGAGATCTGCCTCTATGCCCTGAGTGCTGACATGGATGGCACATGCCTTTAATTTTATTCTTATCCACATGTGATCAAATTAACCACCTGATAACTCATTGGTATGGAGCTAGAACCCTGGATCTTGCCCATGATCAGGAAATCAGCGTCATTCTCAGCTTTTTTTTTTTTTAAATTCCAAGTCTAATGCTGAACAATATAATTATATTAATTGTCTTGTTAAAATACCTCAAGATGAGTGTTTATTCTTTAGAGTAGTGGAAATAGGCAAGATCAAGTGTGTTGAAATGTCTATTGTAAACTTGGGCATGTAGCATGGCCATTTCTGGTGATGTCGTGGTGTTTGTTTACAGAGTGTGCAGTGGGGATGAATACTCAATTGCCAAAATTTGACATTGGTTCAGACATAACAATGACTTCTGTTGATTCAGCATCAGTGTGATCTAGTGGTAAGACAGTATCGAGAGAGTGAAGAGATAAATTCTAAAAGGCTGTGGGAGATAGCCAGGAGCAAACCTAAAACACAGAGTTTGGATAAGCATCAAACAGTACAGCTCTGCTTCCATTATTGTTGTTTTTTTGTTTTGTTTTGTTTTGTTTTGTTTTGTTTTGTTTTGTTTTGTTTTGTTTTCTAGACAGGCTTTCTCTGTGTAACAACCCTGGCTGTCCTGGAACTTGCTCTATAGACTAGGCTGGCCTGGAACTCAGAGATTTGCCTGGCTCTGCCTCTTGAGTGCCGTGCACCACCACTGACTGGCTCCATTGTTGTTTTTGACATCACTGACTGTCATGTGCTAAGACCCATAACCCATGACATGACATGATACAGAAATTCTTTTTTGATGGATGTGTCACAAAGAGTATAAAACAGATTGAGCCTGCACAGAAAGCAAAGATCGTGTATTTTTTTTCATTCTTCACAATTACTCTTCTTGCAAGTGTCTAGCTTGGTGTTATAGTGAGACTCATATACTATGGTTTCCAGTATTTAGGTAAATTATTTAGTATTCAATTCTTTGGAAAAAAGGAGTAGTTAGTGGTTTAATAGACTAAGAGCTTATTTAATTTCTTGGATCAAATTGAAACTGTTTTTAGTACAATCATTTTAAAGTTTAGGTCAACAATTTTGATATTTTAAACCAGATTTTTTTTCCTCTGAAGTCTTTGGCAGACTCTTTAAGGACCTTTATTTGCCCCATTTAGATCGCAAATAGAAATTTTTAAGTGCATATTTTTTCTTGGCACCTATCCAGGAATGTTGTAGTCCTAATTTGGTTGATGGGTTTATTCACTCATGAACTTAGTTGGTATCAGTGTGGCACTTACTGTTCTTGCATCATTCCTGTCTATGACTGAGCAGAAGGATTAGCCAGTGGTTTTCTCATACATGCCATTGTTATCCTTTCCAGAAGGATGAAGGCACGGTGAATCAAGGTGTCAGGTAATAAGATTGGATCATAAGCCAAGGCATTTCACAGTTATATCCTCATTCTTCCACATCCTGTTATCTCTGTACAGCTGTATCTGGACTTCTCAGAAATTCTCTCCAGTCTAGCCTGCAAATTCTCAGTGAAAATTACTTTATTAACAGAAGGTAAATACTGAGATTGGGTGTGGTGGTGTATGCCTGTGATTGACTACATTGCAAGGTTGCAGCAAGCTTGAACCATCAGTCTCTGTCCCACAAAACAAAATAGTAGGGATATACATTTTCTTAGTTGTTTTAAGTTCCTGCCATTTCAGTTGACAGAGCTAAAAATATTTAATGTACACATGTTCTATGTTATCTCTACATCTAAACAACAGAATCAACTTTTTGGTTTCTGCAGTTGCACTTTATGTTTTACAGTCAGAGTTGGCAATACTCACGTTATGAGTTTGATGAAACAGCAGACATAAGGTTAGTAGTAAAGGGCCTGCTCTTGTGTGGTGGTATACCACTGAGCCATGTGGCAAAGGGTCTGTAGCCCTTTGAGTGGAGGAAATAGTATGAGGATGGACTCCTATGTATGACACTATGCTCAATATTAAAAGCAATCTTTGGTCCAAAGTAGCCTGAGTGTAAAGTTTTAGCAAAATATCATCCATCATGTTAAATATATACTATTTGAATTTCATACATATTGGTAGTTTGAAATCTAGTTCTGGAGACCTTTTTACTTTATAATGTATAGACCTATAAACATACAGAGTCATCATGTTGGGCTGGTGAGATGGCTCAGCAAATGAAGGCACTTGCTGCTAACCCTGATGACTTGTGTTTGATCCCTAGAATCCACAGTAGAAGGGGAGAACCAGAAGGGGAGAACCAGTTTCAGTAAGCTGTCCATTAGCTTCCACATACATATGTGTAAACACACACACACACACACACACACACACACACACACACACACACACCTATACAAAATGTAAAATTTCAGAGAATCATCATGTCTTAGGTATGCATGTTCCATAATTCTACATCTTGCAGGCAGCAGGAAGTGTCTGAGACACTGGGCAGTATCTTGAGCATAAATGAAACCTCAAAACGCTCTTCCACAGTGACACACTTCCTCTAACAAGGCCACACCTCCTAATAGTGTCACTCCCTTTGGGGGACATTTTCTTTCAAACCACCACAGTTACCTTTCTCATTGCTATGACAGAAACACCTGCCAAAGCAACTCAAGGAAGGAAGGGTTTACTTTGGCTCCAGGCATAAGAAGGCATATATATATAGTCCATGAAGGTGTGAGGGCAGGTTGTATTGTGTCCACAGTAGGAAGGAGCCAACCAGAAGTAAGGCCAGGCTATAAAGCCTGAAGACCCACCCATTGGTCCATTTAGTGAGCTCCAACTCCTCAAGGTTCTGCAGTCTTATAAAACTGTTACTAGCTAGAAACCGGGTGTTGAGACACATGCACACAGTATGTATTCCTCGCTCAAGTCTGCTGATGAAATGTCCAGTTAGAACATTTGAGATACTCGATTTTAAGAATGTACAGACACCACTTAACATTTGTGAATATGAAATTATTCCTTGGGCTGATAGTTAGGGTCTAAGATGTACTTAGTTAGAAGTAGTTGTGATTCTATCCCCTTAAAGTAGCTTAAATTTCAGAAGAATGTTAAATGTAGGTAGGTACCATCTAGAAAAGATTTTTGTGCTTAGGGAAAGGTGGTTTTTAAAAATAAAAAAATTGGAATACCAGTTTAAACAAAAAAGACAAAAAGAACTCAGAATGACAGGTAGAGAACATAAGTGGGTAATCATATTCAAAATATATTCAAAGTGCCCAATATATGCTATATACTTTCAAATAGTGTCATATTTACAATACAAAGAAGTCTGTGCTCCTTCACCTGATCTGCCAATTGGCATCCAGCCCCATCAGGTCTATATCTCCTTTCTTTCTCTTGTGTGTGATTTTCACCTGAAGGTACACTCTCCTACCTACAGTGTATTCCACTCTAGAGGAGGAAATCAGCAGGCTCTGCCAGCTCTCTCCTAATCATTCATTTTCCATTCTGGCCCATTTCTGTCCAGGAACATAGGTTGTCTTTCTCTTCAGAATCCTTCAATCTAGAACTTCCCCCCAACTTTCCCCATATTTCATGTTCTTCATAATTTGAAGGAACACAAACTTTATATTCTGTAGGAATGACAACTTCAGTTTGGGCTGTTTTTCATATTCATTCTCACAGTCTTGGAAGGAAGGATGCTCTTCTTCCCGTGCATCATGTGTGCATCCCTGGGAATGGAATGTAGTCTAGGAGTGTACCAGCATCTTTTAATCAGACCTCCCACTGGTCAGCTTGGCATCTGTTATGGTATTCTGCATTATTCACCTGTGTTATTGTGGCCAAAGGATGATTTTTTGTTTCAGTCACATTTATTAACACTGTATTGAATGGATGAGCCCTTTCTTTTCTGCATCTTAAATTTCTTCATTCATTCATACAGATACAGAGGCATAGATTCCAGGGCATGTGTTTGAATAGATACCCCATGTTGTGAGTGTATGTGGAGATCAAAGGACAACTCTCAAGAGCTGGTTTAGCCCTTCTACTGTGGGATCTGGAAATTGAACTTAGGTTGTCAGGTTTGCATAGCAAGAGTTTTATTTGCTAAGCCATCTTACTGCCTTCATTTCCTTCCCCACCCCCAACACCTTACTTTGAGAGACAGGGTCTTAAAGATAAACCTAGTTTTCATTTAGTGACTGAACTG